CAACTGGCTCTTCCTCACTCCTACAAGATGTTATTCCTCCTTGCCCTATACACGAAATCACAGCTTCCCTATCTTCATCAACATTTAACAATTCCTCAAAATATTCCTTCCATCTTCCCAATACCTCTACCTCTCCATTTAATAACTCTCCTCTCCTATTTTTAACTGACAAATCCATTTGTTCTCTAGGCTTTCTTAACTTGTTAATCTCACTCCAAAACTTTTTCTTATTTTCAACAAAATTTGTTGATAACATCTCACCCACTCTCTCATTTGCTCTCTTTTACATTGCTTCACCACTCTCTTAACTTCTCTCTTTTTCTCCATATACTCTTCCCTCCTTGCATCACTTCTACTTTGTTAAAAACTTCATATGCTAACTTTTTCTCCCTTACTACTCTCTTTACATCATCATTCCACCAATCGCTCCTCTTCCCTCCTGCACCCACTTCCTATAACCACAAACTTCTGCTGAACACTCTAACACTACATTTTTTAAACCTACCCCATACCTCTTCGACCCCATTGCCTATGCTCTCATTAGCCCATCTATCCTCCAATAGCTGTTTATATCTTACCCTAACTGCCTCCTCTTTTAGTTTATAAACCTTCACCTCTCTCTTCCCTGATGCTTCTATTCTCCTTGTATCCCATCTACCTTTTACTCTCTCAGTTAGCTACAACTAGAAAGTGATCTGATATATCTGTGGCCCCTCTATAAACATGTACATCCTGAAGTCTACTCAACAGTCTTTTATCTACCAATACATAATCCAACAAACTACTGTCATTTCGCCCTACATCATATCGTGTATACTTATTTATCCTCTTTTTCTTAAAATATGTATTACCTATAACTAAACCCCTTTCTATACAAAGTTCAATCAAAGGGCTCCCATTATCATTTACACCTGGCACCCCAAACTTACCTACCACACCCTCTCTAAAAGTTTCTCCTACTTTAGCATTCAAGTCCCCTACCACAATTACTCTCTCACTTGGTTCAAAGGCTCCTATACATTCACTTAACATCTCCCAAAATCTCTCTCTCTCCTCTGCATTCCTCTCTTCTCCAGGTGCATACACGCTTATTATGACCCCTTCTCGCATCCAACCTTTACTTTAATCCACATAATTCTTGAATTTACACATTCATATTCTCTTTTCTCCTTCCATAACTGATCATTTAACATTACTGCTACCCCTTCCTTTGCTCTAACTCTCTCAGATACTCCAGATTTAATCCCATTTATTTCCCCCCACTGAATCTCTCCTACCCCTTCAGCTTTGTTTCGCTTAGGGCCAGGACATCCAACTTCTTTTCATTCATAACATCAGCAATCATCTGTTTCTTGTCATCCGCACTACATCCACGCACATTTAAGCAACCCAGTTTTATAAAGTTTTTCTTCTTCTCTTTTTTAGTAATTGTATACAGGAGAAGGGGTTACTAGCCATTGCTCCCGGCATTTTAGTCGCTCATACGACACGCATGGCTTACGGAGGAAAGATTCTTTTCCACTTCCCCATGGACAATAGAAGAAATAAAAAAGAACAAGAGCTATTTAGAAAAAGGAGAAAAACCTAGATGTATGTATATATATATATGCATGTGCGTGTCTGTGAAGTGTGACCAAAGTGTAAGTAGGAGTAGCAAGATATCCCTGTTATCTTAGCGTGTTTATGAGACAGAAAAAGAAACCAGCAATCCTACCATCATGCAAAACAGTTACAGGTTTTTGTTTCACAGTCATCTGGCAGGACGGTAGTACTTCCCTGGGTGGTTGCTGTCTACCAACCTACTACCTATATTTGGTAATAAGTAATACATATTTTATGTATTATAAATAAATATACAAGGTATGATGTAGCACGTAATGAAAGTAGTTTGTTAGATTATGTATTGGTGAATAAAAGGTTGATGGGTAGGCTCCAGGATGTACATGTTTATAGAGGGGCAACTGATATATTGGATCATTATTTAGTTGTAGCTACAGTTAGAGTAAGAGGTAGATGGGAAAAGAGGAAAGTGGCAACAACAAGTAAGAGGGAGGTGAAAGTGTATAAACTAAGGGAGGAGGAAGTTCGGGGGAGATATAAGCGACTGTTGGCAGAAAGGTGGGCATGTGCAAATATGAGTAGTAGGGGGGTTGAAGAGGGTTGGAATAGTTTTAAAAATGCAGTATTAGAATGTGGGGCAGAAGTTTGTGGTTATAGGAGGGTGGGGGCAGGTGGAAAGAGGAGTGATTGGTGGAATGATGAAGTAAAGGGGTGATTAAAAGAGAAAAAGTTGCTTATGAGAGGTTTTACAAAGCAGAAGTGTTATAAGGAAAGCAGAGTATATGGACAGTAAAAGAAAGGTGAAGAGAGTGGTGAGAGAGTGCAAAACGAGAGCAGATGATAGAGTGGGAGAGGCACTGTCAAGAAATTTTAATGAAAATAAGAAAAAATTTTGGAGTGAGTTAAACAAGTTAAGAAAGCCTAGGGAAAGTATGGATTTGTCAGTTAAAAACAGAGTAGGGGAGTTAGTAGATGGGGAGAGGGAGGTATTAGGTAGATGGCGAGAATATTTTGAGGAACTTTTAAATGTTGAGGAAGAAAGGGAGGCGGTAATTTCATGTACTGGTCAGGGAGGTATACCATCTTTTAGGAGTGAAGAAGAGCAGAATGTAAGTGTGGGGAAGGTACGCGAGGCATTATGTAGAATGAAAGGGGGTAAAGCAGCTGGAACTGATGGGATCATGACAGAAATGTTAAAAACAGGGGGGGATATAGTGTTGGAGTGGTTGGTACTTTTGTTTAATAAATGTATGAAAGAGGGGAAGGTACCTAGGGATTGGCGGAGAGCATGTATAGTCCCTTTATATAAAGGGAAGGGGGACAAAAGAGATTGTAAAAATTATAGAGGAATAAGTTTATTGAGTATACCAGGAAAAGTGTACGGTAGGGTTATAATTGAAAGAACTAGAGGTAAGACAGAATGTAGAATTGCGGACGAGCAAGGAGGTTTCAGAGTGGTTAGGGGATGTGTAGATCAAGTGTTTACATTGAAGCATATATGTGAACAGTATTTAGATAAAGGTAGGGAAGTTTTTATTGCATTTATGGATTTAGAAAAGGCATATGATAGAGTGGATAGAGGAGCAATGTGGCAGATGTTGCAAGTATATGGAATAGGTGGTAAGTTACTAAATGCTGTAAAGAGCTTTTATGAGGATAGTGAGGCTCAGGTTAGTATGTGTAGAAGAGAGGGAGAATACTTCCCAGTAAAAGTAGGTGTTAGACAGGGATGTGTAATGTCACCATGGTTGTTTAATATATTTATAGATGGGGTTGTAAAAGAAGTAAATGCTAGGGTGTTCGGGAGAGGGGTGGGATTAAATTATGGGAAATCAAATTCAAAATGGGAATTGACACAGTTACTTTTTGCTGATGATACTGTGCTTATGGGAGATTCTAAAGAAAAATTGCAAAGGTTAGTGGATGAGTTTGAGAATGTGTGTAAAGGTAGAAAGTTGAAAGTGAACATAGAAAAGAGTAAGGTGATGAGGGTATCAAATGATTTAGATAAAGAAAAATTGGATATCAAATTGGGGAGGAGGAGTATGGAAGAAGTGAATGTTTTCAGATACTTGGGAGTTGACGTGTCGGCGGATGGATTTATGAAGGATGAGGTTAATCATAGAACTGATGAGGGAAAAAAGGTGAGTGGTGCATTGAGGTATATGTGGAGTCAAAAAAACGTTTATCTATGGAGGCAAAGAAGGGAATGTATGAAAGTATAGTAGTACCAACACTCTTATATGGATGTGAAGCTTGGGTGGTAAATGCAGCAGCGAGGAGACGGTTGGAGGCAGTGGAGATGTCCTGTCTAAGGGCAATGTGTGGTGTACATATTATGCAGAAAATTCGGAGTGTGGAAATTAGGAGAAGGTGTGGAGTTAATAAAAGCATTAGTCAGAAGGCAGAAGAGGGTTGTTGAGGTGGTTTGGTCATTTAGAGAGAAAGGATCAAAGTAGAATGACATGGAAAGCATATAAATCTATAGGGGAAGGAAAGAGGGGTAGGGGTCGTCCTCGAAAGGGTTGGAAAGAGGGGGTAAAGGAGGTTTTGTGGGTGAGGGCTTGGACTTCCAGCAAGCGTGCATGAGCGTTTTAGATAGGAGTGAATGGAGACGAATGATACTTGGGAACCTGACGATCTGTTGGAGTGTGAGCAGGGTAATATTTAGTGAAGGGATTCAGGGAAACCGGTTATTTTCATATAGTCGGACTTGAGTCCTGGAAATGGGAAGTACAATGCCTGCACTTTAAAGGAGGGGTTTGGGATATTGGCAGTTTGGAGGGATATGTTGTGTATCTTTATACGTATATGCTTCTAAACTGTTGTATTCTGAGCACCTCTGCAAAAGCAGTGATAATGTGTGAGTGTGGTGAAAGTGTTGAATGATGAAAGTATTTTCTTTTTGGGGATTTTCTTTCTTTTTTTGGGTCACCCTGCCTCGGTGGGAGACGACCGACTTGTTGAAAAAAAAAAAAAAAAAAAAAAACATGTACGTGTAGCATGACCTAAGTCTAAGTAGAAGTAGCAAGATGTACCGGAAATCTTGCATGTTTATGAGACAGAAAAAAGACACCAGCAATCCTACCATCATGTAAAACAATTACAAATTACTAAGTGTAAAAAGAAAAAAATCTCTTGCATTCTTTTTTCAGAACATCCTACCTCAGTGGGAAACAGCCAGTGTTAAAAAAAAATCCAGATATTATTATCATCTTTATTGGAAACTACGTACTAACATGTAGTGGTCACATAGTACCTGGGTAGTGAAAAGAGATGTTATTTGATGCAAATAGTGGGAGAAAATCACAAGCCCATCACTAGGATCAAGGCCCAGCCTCCCATGATGGCTGTTTACCTTAGATTAAGTGCAGAATTTGTGGCAACACTGAACAAAGAGAATGTACTGGTTTAATATAGCTGACACTATAGTTACTTACCAAAGTCTGCTTTATTGAGAGTAATGATCTCAGGATCATCATCATAGATACCAAAGTTATCATGGTAGTAGTTCCACGAGTGATACTGCTGACCCGATCTGAAATACAAAGTTGCAAGCAATATATACAGGGTGTGGGCAACAAAGTTTAGAAAACAATGCATGTCATGGTACTGTGGCAAAGGTGATCAGAATCAAATCGTCATAATCTACATAAATCACAAATTGTCATAAAATATTGCCTTGAAGATGAAAAAAAAATTGTTAGTACTACATTAATTCTGTCCCCATGAGGAACAAGAAAAAGAATCCTTCCTTTGAATGCCATGCATGTTGTAAGAAAAAACTAAAATGCTGCAAGCAAGGGGCCTAGTAACTCCTTTTCCTGCATAAATTACTAAATGTAAAAAGGATAACTTTTGTTTCTTCTTTTTCAGGTTACCCTGCCTAGGTGGGAGATGGCAGCTGTACACAAATTACCCGCACATAAAAGAGAGAAGCTTACGACGACGTTTCGGTCCGACTTGGACCATTGACAAAGTCACACAGCTGTGTTAAAAAAAAATTAATCTTGTCAATAGCTATAAATATGAAAAGATGAATGTTAATATACACTAGCAAGTTACATATTTACAGTAAACGATCTCAAATTGTCTAATTATATCAAAAATAATTCTTCAGACCAGTATAATTTAAAGCCTGGAAAACATTACCATCATAATTTGGTGGTTGAATGTCTGCTACCCGACAACCCAGCCTTCACTGTAAACAACATGTCAATAGTTTCCAACTCCTGAAACGATGAGGTGTTTTCTCTGCAGCCATCTATTACCTTCCCATTTTAAAATTTTGGTTACATTAAGTGTAGTTAATAATATTGTATATTAATTACAGTTCAAGAATGGTAACTTAGACTAAAACAACTAACTACTTTTATTCTGGGCTTAGATTGTGCAAAAACTTATACAGTTGACCCCCGCTTAACGATCACCTCCAAATGCGACCAATTATGTAAGTGTATTTATGTAAGTGCGTTTGTACATGTATGTTTGGGGGTCTGAAATGGACTAATCTACTTCACAATATTCCTTATGGGAAAAAATTCGGTCAGTACTGGCACCTGAACATACTACTGGAATGAAAAAAGTTCGTTAACCGGGGGTCCACTGTATACTGTAAAAAGCTGGAAAATAAATTCACTAGTGTTTGGAGGAAGGATTGTACCTTCATCAACAGTGTCTACAAACATCATTACATCAGCAAAGAGAGTAATATGAAACAGTCTACCACCTGAATCCGTCAAAACTAAGATTGTGCTGCAGTTCAAAATTTACCTGGCCAACTCCATTAAGCACAGCATGTGAATCATCACAAGCAAGTCAAAATTTGGCGTCCACCTCGAATCCACTGGAAACAGTGCAAGTAAAGTAACTACAGTATTTAGCAGCAGTGAATTATAAAAAGTACAATAATCTCACCTGCTTTCATCAAGACCTTCTTCACCATGTAAATCATATTTCTTTCTTAGCTCTTCATCCTTGAGAACTTCATAAGCACGATTAATTTGAACAAATTTCTCATGTGCTTCGGGATCATCCTAAAGGAAATATTAATATGATAAATGTTTACACTGCATAAAACATGCATATAAATTGCACATAAATACGAAGAAAAAAGAAGAGATGTTAGAAGAGTGGTTGGGGGATGTAAAAGAAGAGCCACTCAGAGAGTGGGTAAGGCTTGATTAACAAATTTTGCTGAGAATCAGAAAAAAGTTTTGGAGAAAGATTGAGAATGCCTAGATAAACAAATCTGTCAGCTAAAAGCAAAAGAGGGGAAATGCAGCAATGCTCCATCCTTCTTAAGTGGATGTGATTTGGACTTGCCTAGCATGAGCCAGTATCAAACCATACCCCGGCCGGGATTGAACCCCCGGTCAGAGTCTCAAAACTCCAGACCGTCGCGTTAGCCACTAGACCAGCTAGCAACAATAAGATTCGTCCAACTAGGTATATTTCTACACCATAGGAAGGTTAGCACAGGCACCACTGTGACCACAAATGCAAGTTTTTACAGACGAATCTCCAGCTAGCGTGGCCGTGACGAACTCTAGCTCAAGTCCCTTCACTGCCGTCAACATGACTCACGAAATCGTATTGTGGCTAGCTGGTCTAGTGGCTAACACGACGGGCTGGAGTTTTGAGACTCTCTGACCGCGGGTTCAATCCCGGCCGGGGTATGGTTTGTTTGCAATCGTGTCATTACGATTTCGTGAGTCATGAGCCAGTATGCCTGCTGCAGTGCTCCTTCTTTCTTATGTTAGATGGAGAAATGAAAGAACTGAGATTATAGTGGGAATTTTTTGAAGAGCTGTAAGTGTAGATGAAGACAGGGAGGCAGCGGTTTCAAGCACTGGGAAGGAAGGTATGAACTATGTCTTAAAGGGATAAAGAAGAGCCAGATGTGAGTGTGGGAAAGGTATGCGAGTCAATGGGTAGAATGAAAGGGAGTAAAGCAGCTGGGACAGATTGGATTAAAACAGAGATGTTAAAAGCAAGTGGTAATACAGTCTTGGAGTAGCTGCTGTATTTAGTCAATACATGCATAAAAGATGAGAGAGCACTAAAGCAGGGGTCGGCAACCTATGGCCCACGGGCCGGATCCAGCCAACGGAGCCACAGCTCAAATGATGTTAAATACAGTGGACCCCCGGTTAACGATATTTTTTCACTCCAGAAGTATGTTCAGGTGCCAGTACTGACCGAATTTGTTCCCATAAGGAATATTGTGAAGTAGATTAGTCCATTTCAGACCCCCAAACATACACGTACAAACACACTTACATAAATACACTTACATAATTGGTCGCATTCGGAGGTAATCGTTATGCGGGGGTCCACTGTATACAGTATGTCAAAGTTTAGTATGTATTACTATCTTTATTAACTATGGTGATAGGTGTGGCAAGCCATCTGCTCGCAGACATGAGCTCTGGCCCCTAGGCAGAACAAGGTTGCCGACCCCTGCACTAAAGACTGGTAGAGCACTATTCATACATAATTAATTTGTATAATGGGGAAAAGGGGCAAAAGAGAGCTTAAGAATTACGGTGAAATAAGCCTGATAAATATACTGATAAAATAAATGGTTGAATTATTACTGAGAGAGTTAAGGGTGAGAGAGAGAGAGTATGGTTGCAGCAGAATAATAATAATTTAGGAAGGGTAGGGGATATGTAGACCAAGAGTTTACACAGAACATAAGTGAACAATACCTAGATAAAAGGTAAGGAACATTTTGTCACATTAATAGATTTAGAAAAGGTATATGATAAGGTGGATAGGGGAGCACTAAGGCAAATGTTGCAAATGTACGGAATAAGCAGTAGGTTACTAAAAGCTAAAAAGAGGCTTTATGCAGATACTGAGACTCAGGTTAGAGTATGCTGGAGAGAGTGATTATTTTCCAATAAAAGTAGGCCTTAGGTCAGGGATGTGTGATGTCACCATGGTTGTTTAATATATTTGCAGGTGGAGAAGTGAATGTAAGGATGATAGGGAGAAGTGTAGGGGTTAAAAAGATAATAAATTCATTGCAAAGTAGGGGTTGTCACAGACAAGAATGAAAATGTGTCATACTTTGAAGCATCTGAGGAGAGAAAGAACTTTATCCATGGAGGCAAAAGGAAAAATGTACCAGAGAATACCAGTACAAATAGTTATACAGGTGTGAAGAATGGACTTCAAATGATGTATAAAGGAAGAGGTTGGAGGCAGTGGAGATGTCATGTTTGAGTTCAAGGTGTTGTGTAAATTATATGCAGAGAATTCAGAGTTTGGAGATTACAAGATGATGTGGTGTTGCCAAAAGCATAATTCTGAGGGCTGAGGAGGGGTTGTTGAAGTGGTTTGGGATGGAACAGAATAGGATGGCTAAGATTTTACTGTCTATAGACTGGGGTGGAAGGAAGAAGGAATGGGGGTCATCCCAGGAGGGATTGGAGGGGAGGTGGTAAAGGTTTTGAGTGCTAAAGGCTTGAACATCCAACAGGCTTGTATGAGCATGTTAGTTCAGACTGAGTGAAGATAAGCTGTTTTCATGGCCTGACATGCTACTGAAGTGTGAGAAAGGTAACATTTATAGAGGGATTCAGGAAAATCAGTTAGCTGATGGGAAATACAGTGCCTTTATTCTAATGGATGGGTGAGGATGTTGCAGTTCTCAGGGTCATCTAAACTGTATCAATACACCTCTGGTAAACCAGCAAGTGAGTGAATGAAAGTGAACAAGGTCCTCATCTTTAGGTCACCCAAACTCAGTGGGTGATGGCCAGTGTTACACAAGTAATTAGTACTGTAAAGAATTTTATTAAGTTGAATAGTTAGGATAAAGGAAATCACCAAATAACAAAGAACATGAATTTTAAGCATTCGCATATATCAATGTGACACTAAGAAACAATAAGTTGATAAACATCCAGTGAAACTTACTAGTAGGTTGGTGCCCTCCTGTACAGTACAAATATACAAGTGTAAACATATTAGGAATGACAGCACAAGACATATGTGATGGATATGTGGGGCAGTGGACCTCCAGCAGCAACAGCTAGGTTGACCAGGCTAGCACCAGACGAGCTTGGCCCATGGCTGGGCTTCAAAAGTAGAAAGACTCTCGAAACTCATTCAAGGTAATTTACTGGTGATGGTAAAGCAGCACTGGTACATAAATGCATTAGAGTAAATAGCTGATAAACAAGTTAATAGAGTTCAGTAAATGGGAATGAAAACTACAAGTATTTGAAAGTTCCTAGGTAGAAATTAGCTACGTCCAGTGACAATGATATATTGCAGACCATTAAATATATGGCATATGTAAATGAAATAAATAATACTGCTTATGCACATTTCAAAGTACAGTATGCATGTGTACTGTATAGTCAGACCTACATTTCTGATTTTTGTGATAATCCAAATTTGCGAGTTTTGATTATTCAATGTTTTGATGAGAATATCTTACCGTGTTCTTGTCAGGATGATGTTTAAGTGCCTTCTCTTTGAAACCTTTGCGAATCTCCTTTTGGTCAGCATTCTTGGTCACCCCAAGCAGCTGATAAAAATCTTCGGCCAGAACAAGTGCATAAAATAAACTGAAGAGTAATGTTCTACCCAACATCTTGCTGCCCTGTATGAAATACAACTGTGCTGAGTTGCTGTACTTATAGCAAACTGGGTTGACATATTTTCACATGTAGCCTATATCCTTAAAATAAATGCTGAATGTGGAAAATATTAATAAAAGCAAACACAACCACTGCATGACATACTGAAGACCACTAATGTGCCTGTGTTCTTATTGTGGGTAAAGGGATTTCAGTGAATTCTTTAATTGCTTTGGTGGAGAGTACTATATAACAATGAATCCTAGCTTAAACCCCCACAGACTGAAATCCTGATGGCACTATTGGGATAAACACTGTACCTCATACTCCTAACTCCTTAAAAACTTCATTGAATTCTCATGAATATTTATGCAAGATAGACAGTCCCTCAATGATGCACTGCCTTTCTTGGGTTATCCTGGGTGGTTACCTTCAAGGTTTAAAAAATCCAAATAAAATCTTATCTTAAAGCAACAATATTACATGGTGGCCTGTGGCCTGGTGGCAAAAGCTCTCGCTTCACATGGTGAGGGTCCAGGTTAGATTCCTGGCGAGGGTTGAAATATTGGGTGCTTTTCCTGGTCACAGACCGGGCCGCGGGGGCGTTGACCCCCGGAACTCTCTCCAGGTAAACTCCAGGTAAACACTGGTTGTTTATGTTCACCCATCAGTAAAACGAGTACCTGGGCATTAGTCAACTGGTGTGGGTCACATCCTGGAGTATACCTCTAGAGGGTTTCAGGGGTCAAGGACCTTGCGGCCCAGCCTGTGACCAGGCCACCCAGGACAAAACTGACCTAATTTACCCCAAAATGCTCTGCATAACAAGGGGCTTTCTATATACTACTGTATACCTGGAGAGGGTTTCTGGGGTCAATGCCTCCACAGCCTAGTCCATGACCAGGCCTCATGGTGCATCAGGGCCTGATCAACCAGGCTGTTACTGTTGGCCGCACACAACCCAACATATGAACCACAGCCCGGCTGGTCAGGTACTGACTTTAGGTGCCTGTCCAGTGCCTTCTTAAAGACGGAGGCAGTTGAACAGTCTTGGGACCCTGACACTTTTTGTGTTGATTCTTATCATCCTAGTGGCGCCCCTGCTTGTCACTGCGGGGATGTTGCATCATCTGCCAAGTCTTTTGCTTTCATAGGGAGTGATTCTCATGTGCAAGTTTGATACTAATCACTCTAGGATTTTCAAAGTGTAAATAATCATGTATCTCTCCCGCCTGCATTCTAGGGAGTACAGGTTGAAGAACTTCAAGCATTCCCAGTACTTGAGGCGTTTTATCACAGTTATGTGTACCATGAAGGTTCTCTGCACATTTTCTAGGTTAAGATAAGATAAGATGAGATTTCTTCAGATTTTTAACCCCGGAGGATTAGCCACCCAGGATAACCCAATTAAGTCAATGCATCATCGAGGACTTTTCGTCTTATTTCCATTGGGGTCCTCAGTCTTGCCCCCAAGGATGTGACCCACACAGTCGACTAACACCCAGGCACCTATTTACTGCTAGGTGAACATGACAACAGGTGTAAGGAAACACATCAAAATGTTTTCACCACGCTGGGAATCGAACCCGGGCCCTCAGGTTAGCAGTTTCATCTGCCTTGAAAGGTGTTGTTAGTGTGCAGCAATATTCCAGCCTAGATAGAACAAGCGAGATCCTGCCATTTTTCTAAAAGATGTGATTGATACAATGTTGTGGTCTTTGAAAGTGAGATCCTCTGACATTATCACTTCCAGGTCTTTTACATTAGTTTTTCGCTCTATTGTGTGGTTGGAATTTATTTTATACTCAAATATAGTTTTAATTTCCTCATATTTTCCATATCGGAGTATTTGAAATTTCTCATCATTGAACTTTATATTGTTTTCTGCGGCCTATTTAGAGATTTGGTTATGTCCGCCTGAAGTCTTGCAGAGTCTTCAATGGAGGACACTGTCATGCAAATTTGGGTGTCATCTGCAAAGGAAGACATGGTGCTGTGGCTTACATCCCTGTCTGTCAGATATGAAGATGAGGAACAAGATGGGAGCGAGTACTGTGATTGTGGAACAGAGCTTTTCACAGCAGCCGCCTCAAACTTTACTCTGTTTACTACTACTCTTTGTGTTCTATCTGTTAGGAAATTACAGATCCATCTACCAACTTTTCCTGTTACTCCTTTATCACGTATATTGTGCACTATTACACCATGATCACACTTGTCAAATGCTTCTGTAAAGTCTGTGTACTACATCTGCATTTTCTTTGTCTTCCAGAGCATCCAGGACCTTGTCATAGTGGTCCAGTAGTTGGGACAGGCAGGAGCAACCTACTCTAAACCCATGTTGCTCTGGGTTGTGTAACTGATGGTATTTAGATGAGTGGCAATCTTGCTTCTTAGAGCCCTTACAAAGGTTTTTATATGGGATGTTAGTGCTATCGGTCTCTAGTTCTCTGCTATTGCTTTACTGCCCTCTTTGTGGAGTGGGGCCATGTCTGTTGTTTTTAGCAGCTGTGGGAAAAAAAAGCTCAATGGGAGCCTTTGTGTGTTTTGAGGGTAGTAGTACAGTCTGAAGTTAGCCTCAGCCCATGTCACCTATCACCACCAGTCCACTGGGGCAACAAGTGTCCGAAGACCCGAGAGACTCGCCTGCTGATGAAGATGCGAAGCCAGAAGACACTCCTCACCTGGGGGGTCACCGCAAAAGAGAAGAAGTCACCCTCCAACCAGAAGGCCCCAAGTAAGAAGACAGGAGAAAGAAGAGGATGAATGACACCCCCTCCCCCCACCCGAGGGGCCACTGCCAGGTCGCCATCTAGAGAAGACCCTGGCCAGAAGTACCGGCGAATCTACATGAACGAATGAATTCTCCACAAGATGCTAAAAGCACATGATAGGGGTTTCTTCCAGTTCTTGATGAACACAGAGTTCCATGAGTCTGGGCTTGGGGCAGAGTGCATGGGTATGTCATTTATCGCATTTCGAAGTCATTAGGCATCAGGATAATATCAGATAGGCTTGAGTCTACCAAATTCTGAGTCTCGCTCATAAAAAATTCATTTAAGACTTCGACTCAGTCTGGTTAGCGACTTGCTAAAAAACGAGTCACAGTGGGACTTGAGAAGCTCACTCCTTTCCTTGCTGTCATCTGTGTAGGACCCATCTCATCTAGTATTATGTCGTTGATGTCAACTAGGCCTGTATACCTTGACATGTACTTGTAGGAAAAAAGGTATTATAATTATTAATATTTCCTGTTCCTTTACAATTTACATGAATTTTTGCAGTAAACATACAGTGAGTACATGCTCTCTTGTACCAGGATGACCCTCAACATCCTGGTCAACATGATACCTGCACCAGGATGATCATCCTGACCAAAATAATACCCTGCACCAGGATAATCAACATCGTGGCTTGCATGATCCCCTGCACAAGGATGAGCCTCACCAACATGATTCACTGCAGCAAGATGATCAACATACTGACCAACATGATCTGCACCAGGATGATCAACATCCTGGCCAATATGAACCAATGCACAAGGATGATCATCCAGGCCAACATGAACCAATGAACCAGGATGATCAACATAACAACATGATCCCTGCACCAGGATGATCAACATACTGATCTTCATGATCACCTGCAAAACGATAATCAGTACCCTGATCAAAATGACCTCCTGCACCAGGGTGATCAGCATCCAAACCAACATAATTCCCGGTACCAGAATGAGCAACATCCTAATCTGCATGATCCCATGCAACAGGATGATCAACATCCTGGCCAACATGATCCCTTGCACCAGGATGATCAGCATCCTCACCCGTATGATCTCCTGCACCAAGAACTCGAGAGCTCTAGAACTGCAGACACATTCATCACCTTCAAAACTACCATTAGAAAACATCTTATCTCCCTGATACACCCCATCAACTAACTACACGAATACCACCTGGTGGTTCACTCACTCACCCATTTGACCATAAACAGAAATATTAATCTCAATCTTAAAATAATGAATCCTATGATACTCCAATACTGAAACTATGTACTGTGCCAAAACAAAAGCATTCGCATTGCTAAACTCACAAACTAGTATTTAGTCACTTAGCCATAATACCAACTTACCTCATAATTTGTAATATTTTAAAATAAAGAATTAAACTAAGTCTGCCCGAAATGCCTAGCCATGCTAGGCGTTCTAGTGGTACACTCTGTAATCATTATTTAACTACATGTAAACCACACAACAACCAAATTCTGTAAATTCAACATTGTAATCTTTATAGAGAATAAACTTTGAATTTGAATTTGAATTTGAAGAAGATCAACAACCTGACCTGCACGATCTCCTGCACCAGGATGATCAGCATCCTGGCCAATATGATCTCCTGCACCAGGATGATCAGCATCCTGACCTGCATGAACTCCTGCACCAGGATGATCAGTCTGACCAGCATGATCCACTGCTCCAGGATGATCAACATCCTGGCCTGCATGATCCCCTGCACCAGGATGATTATACTGACCAACATACTCCCTTGCACCAGGATCATCAACATCCTGGCCAACATGATCTCCTACACCATGATAATCAACATCCTGGCCAACATGATCTCTTGCACCAGGATCAGCATCCCGACCTGCATGATCTTATCCATCAGTATGATCAACATCCTGGCCAACATGACCCCATGCACCAGGATGATCAACATCCTGACCAACATGATCTCCTGCACCAGGATTATTAGCATCCTGGCCAACATGAACCCTTCCTACAAGATGATCGACATCCTGGTCAACATGATCTCCTGCACCAAGATGATCAACATCCTGGGAAACATGATCTCCTGCACCTGGATTATCAGCATCCTGGCCAACATGATCCCTTCCAACAAGATGATCAGCATCCTGACCTGCATGATTTCCTGCACCAGGATGATCATTCTGCCCAGTATGATCCACTGCTCCAGAATGATGAACACCCTGACTTGCATGATCCCCTGCACCAGAATGATCAACATCCTGGCCTGCATGATCCCCTGCACCAGGATGATCATCCTGACCAACATAATACCTTGCTCCAGGATAATCAACATCCTGGCCTGCATGATCTCCTGCACCAGAATGATCAGCATCCTGACCTTCATGATCTCATGCATCAGTTTGATCAACATCCTGGCCAACATGATCCTGTGCACCAGGATTATCAGCATCCTGGCAAACATGATCCCCTGCACCAGGATGATCGACATCCTAGCCAACATGATCTCCTGCACCAAGATAATAAACATCCTGGCCAACATGATCCCCTGCACCAGGATGTTCAGCATCCTAACCTGCATGATATCCTGCACCAGGATGATCAGCAGCCTGGCCAACATGATCTCCTGTACCAGGATGATCAACATCCTGACCTGCATGATCTGTGCCAGTATGATCAACATCCTGGCCAAAATGATAAGAACAAACGATGATGAACATTCTGGCCAACATGAACCAATGCACAAGGATGATCATCCTGGCCAACATGAACCAATGAACCAGGATGATCAACATACCAACATGATCCCCTGCACTAGGATGATCAACATCCCGATCTGCATGATACCATGCAACAGGATGATCAACATCCTGGCCAACATGATCCCCTGCACCAGGATGATCAACATCCTGGCCAACATGATCCTTTGCACCAGGATGATCACCATCCTTACCTGTATGATTTCCTGCACCAGGAAGATCAACAACCTGACCTGCCCGATCTCCTGCACCAGAATGATCAACATCCTGGCCAACATGATCTCCTGCACCAGGATGATAAGCAGCCTGACTTGCATGATCCCCTACACCAGGATGATCAAACTCCTGGCCTGCATGATCCCCTGCACCAGGATGATCTACATCTTGACCAACATGATCTCCAGCACCAGGATGATCAGCATCCTAACCTGCATGATATCCTGCACCAGGATGATCAACATCTTGGCCAACATGATCTCTTGCACCAGGATGATCAGCATCCTAACCTGCATGATATCCTGCACCAGGATGATCAACATCCTGGCCAACATGATCTCCAGCACCAGGATGATCAGCATCCTAACCTGCATGATATCCTGCACCAGGATGATCAACATCCTGACCAACATGATCTCCAGCACCAGGATGATCAGCATCCTAACCTGCATTACATCCTGGCCAACATGATCTCCTGCACTAGGATGATCAACATCCTGGCCAACATGGTCTCCTACACCAGGATGATCAACATCCTGGCCAACATGATCTCCTGCACCAGGATGGTCAATATCCTGGCCAACATGATCTCCTGCACTAGGATGATCAACATCCTGGCCAACATGATCTCCTGCACCAGGATGATCAACATCCTGGCCAACATGATCTCCTGCACTAGGATGATCAACATCCTGGCCAACATGGTCTCCTGCACTAGGATGATCAACATCCTGGCCAACATGATCTCCTGCACCAGGATGATCAACATCCTGGCCAACATGATCTCCTGCACCAGGATGATCAACATCCTGGCCAACATGATCTCCTGCACCAGGATGATCAACATCCTGGCCACATGATCTCATGCACCAGGATGATCAACATCCTGGCCAACATGATCTCGTGCACCAGGATGATCAACATCCTGGCCAACATGATCTCCTGCACTAGGATGATGAACATCCTGGCAATGGAAATAATAAAGGACCCCAATGGAAATAATAAAGGACCCCAATGGAAATAAGTCACTCTGTCTGACTTTTTTGGGTTATCCTAGGTTCTCTACACATATGCTGCTATGTATGATAATTCTATGTAACTGTATTTGTGTATACCTGAATAAACTTACTTACTTACTAACATGATCTCCTGCACCAGGATGATCAACATCCTGGCCAACATGATCTCCTGCACCAGGATGATCAACATCCTGGCCAACATGATCTCCTGCACTAGGATGATCAACATCCTGGCCAAATGTATCTCCTGCCACCAGGATGATCAAAAACCCCTGGCCAAATGAATCTCCTGCACTTTAGGATGATCAACATCCTGGCCAACATGATCTCCTGCACCAGGATGATCAACATCGTAGCCAACATGATCTCCTGCACCAGGATGATCAACATCCTGGCCAACATGATCTCCTGCACCAGGATGATCAACATCATGGCCAACATGATCTCCTGCACCAGGATGATCAACATCCTGCCAACATGATCTCCTGCACTAGGATGATCAACATCCTGGCCAACATGATCTCCTGCACTAGGACGATCAACATCCTGGCCAACATGATCTCCTGCACTAGGATGATCAACATCCTAGCCAACATGATCTCCTGCACCAGGATGATCAACATCCTGGCCAACATGATCTCCTGCACTAGGATGACCAACATCCTGGCCAGCATGGTCTCCTGCACCAGGATGATCAACATCCTGGCCAATATGATCTCCTGCACTAGGATCAACATCCTAAGACCCTACAGTGAAACTTTGATATCCTGCACCAGGATGATCAACATCCTGGCCAACATGATCTCCTGCACCTGGATGATCAACATCCTGGCCATGATCTCCTTCACCAGGATGGTCAACATCCTGGCCAACATGATCCCCTGCACCAGGATGATCAACATCCTGGCCAACATGATCTCCTGCACTCGGATGATCAACATCCTGGCCAACATGATCTGCACCAGGATGATCAACATCCTGGCCAACATGATCTCCTTCACTAGGAGGGTCAACATCCTGGCCAACATGATCTCCTGCCCCTAGGATGATCAACATCCTGGCCAACATGATCTCCTGCACTAGGATTGATCAACATCCTGGCCAACATGATCTGCACCAGGATGATCAACATCCTGGCCAACATGATCCTGCACCAGGATGATCAGCATCCTGGCCAACATGATCTCCTGCACTAGGATAATCAACATCCTAGCCAACATGATCCTGCACCAGGATGATCAACATCCTGGCCAACATGATCTCCTGCACTAGGATGATCAACATCCAGGCCAACATGATCTCCTGCACTAGGATGATCAACATCCTGGCCAACATGATCTGCACCAGGATGATCAACATCCTGGCCAACATGATCCTGCACCAGGATGATCAGCATCCTGGCCAACATGATCTCCTGCACTAGGATAATCAACATCCAGGCCAACATGATCTCAGCCAGGATGATCAACATCCTGGCCAACATGATCTCCTGCACTAGGATGATCAACATCCAGGCCAACATGATCTCCTGCACTAGGATGATCAACATCCTGGCCAACATGATCCTGCACCAGGATGATCAACATCCTGGCCAACATGATCCTGCACCAGGATGATCAACATCCTGGCCAACATGATCTCCTGCACTAGGATGATCAACATCCTGGCTAACATGATCTCCTGCACTAGGATGATCAACATCCTGGCCAACATGATCTCCTGCACCAGGATGATCAACATCCTGGCCAACATGATCTCCTGCACTAGGATGATCAACATCCTGGCCAACATGATCCTGCACCAGGATGATCAACATCCTGGCCAACATGATCCTGCACTAGGATGATCAACAACCTGGCCAACATGATCCTGCACCAGGATGATCAACATCCTGGCCAACATGATCCTGCACTAGGATGATCAACATCCTGGCCAACATGATCTCCTGCACCAGGATGATCAACATGATCTCCTGCACTAGGATGATCAACATCCTGGCCAACATGATCTCCTGCACCAGGATGATCAACATCCTGGCCAACATGATCCATGGATCACTCAGGCAGTGGTGATCCAGCTTGACAGTTTCAGGCGTGGGCGTCACACTTCAACCTTTGCACTACACAAATGTATTACAACTGCTACACACAAGTATTGCAGCAACACCCCAGCAATATACAGGTGTATTTTCTTTACCAGCTTTATGAGTAAATGTTGTGTATGATCAGCAGCACAACACTTGGCGTGTACCACCACTCAACAAGTTGCTATCTGACTGCCGATGTTTCTGGTGACACCAGCTGAAGCTCCCACTCAGTGTTGGGTTGTGACGGCCCTGAGGTCGCTTAGTGTTGGGTTGATGGGTTGTGACGGCCCTGAGGTCGCTTAGTGTTGGGTTGATGGGTTGTTGTTAAGTTTATTCAGGTATACACAAATACAGTTACATTATCGTACTTAGCAGCATATGTTTAGAGAACCTAGGACCCCAATGGAAATAAGTCACTCTGATTTTTTAGGGTTATCCTAGGTTTCTACACATATGCTGCTATGTATGATAATTCTATGTAACTGTTTTTTTTTAAAACCTGAAAAAACTTACAAAACTAGGAAAAACCCAAAAAAGTCAGACAAAGAAAACTTTTTTCCACGGGGGGTCCTTATAAAATTATTATTTATGTTTAAAAAATTAAAAACAAGTAAGAATTTAAATTTTGTAAATTTTTAAAATAAAGAAAAATACTTGGGATGGTAAATTATTATGATGATAAATTTATGAATTATTTTGTATACCGAAAAATTTACTTTCTTTCTTACTTTTTATTATACAAAAAATCGTTCCCAACTTTCTGAGCCTTTTTATGAGGTAATTTTTGGTTTTTCTTGAAACCGGGTAGTTTGACAGGTTTTGATTTGTGCGGCGTCATTCCACTCTTTTATTGTGTTAGAAAAATGTCTTTGAGCCTGCAATCTAGGTACTGCGGTTTTCTCCCTTCCTTAGTTCTATAATTACATTTGTTCCCGCCCTTAACAAAATTAGCAGTAAGATATTGGGGACACTGGTTGTGAACAAATTTATAAATATAATTTAGCTTTAGTTGTTTTACTCTGTCTTCAACATTCAGCATAACCAGTTGTAATTCATTGTGGCTAACATTCTCTTTTGGACCCAAGACCAGAATGAATCTCACCATTTTGTTCTGGGTGACTTGTAGCCAATCTCTTAGTTTTTTCTCTTTTTTTTTTTTTTTTTTTTTTTTTTTTGTTAAAGCAGAGTACCATGAAGAGGAAGAGTAGTCAATAATACACTGTATGAGAGTTAGAAATAGAGTCCTGTGAGCTTCAGAAGGTAGACACTGTGCCTGTCTGTAGAGGAACTTCAGTCTGGCATTCGCTTTCTTTACTACAGTGTTCCCTATCAATTCTCCTGACTAGTTCTAGTGATAGTATATTAGCGATGTCTTGTGGGTCTTTACCTAACACTAACAAAGCACTATCATCTCACTTGCAGTCTTGCATTTGACAGTGATCGGCATATCTTTCACATAGCACAGGCATAGCAATAGACCCATGATACTACCTTGAGGAACCCCACATGTTAATAATAATAATAATTATTAATAATAATAATAATAATAATAATAATAATAATAATAATAATAATAATAATAATAATAATTAATAAGGTAATAAATGTTGGGTTGATGGGTTCTGAGAGCTTAGAGGCCACACACACACATATATACATATATATACATACACTCAATATTGGGTTGAGGGGTTTTGATAGCTTCGAGTCCACACACACGCTCAATGTTGGGTTGATGGGTTCTGATACCGTTCAGGCCACACATGCATATACACAATTATCAAATCAAATCAAATCAAATCAAAGTTTATTCTCTATAAAGATTACAATGCAGGGTTGTGTTGCCAGGGATGGGAATTAGTGATTATTCTTATTGCAGCTTTTTGTTGAGTCATTATTGGCTTTAGGTGTATTGCTGCAGTTGATCCCCAAGCACAAATAGCATAGGTGAGGTATGGATAAATGAGTGAATGGTATAGCGTGAGAAGGGTATTTTGCGGCACGTAGTATTGTATCTTGGAGAGGATCCCAACTGTTTTGGATACTTTTTTTGATATGTTGGATATGGGTGCTGAAATTCAGGTTGTTGTCGAGGTATAGGCCTAGAAATTTGCCCCCATTATGTCTGGCAATTAGAGTGTTGTTGATCTTAATGTTAATTTGCGCAACTCCTGCTCTGCTACCAAACATAATATAGTAGGTTTTGTCGGTGTTAGGTGTAAGTCTATTGGTTGTCATCCAAGTTGATATTTTGAGCAGCTCCTCATTAACAATGGTGTTGAGGGTGGGAAGATTAGGGTGAGAGATGACATAAGTCGAGTCGTCAGCAAAGAGAATGGGTTTCAGGTGTTTCAGGTGAGTACACACACACATCACCTAGTAGCGACCAGTGAAGAGGCGGTACCGGGAGCTATGAATCGACCCCTGCAACCAAAATTAGGTGAGGAATTAGGTGAGTACACACACACACAGGGCCAGGAGCAGTCTCTACCCCTGCAACCACAATTAGGTGAGTACACACAGAAAGGACTTCAGGAAGTCAGAACAGGGGGGTACACCAATAAGGGATATACCAACAAGTGTTGGATGAAATACAACCGAGGAGGAGGTGAGATTGCTAAGTGACCTTGATACCTCAAAGGCAGTGGGACCGGACAACATCTCTCCGTGGGTCCTTAGAGAGGAGCTGAGACACTGTGTGTGCCACTAATCACAACTTTCAACACATCCACTGAAACTGGGAAACTAATTGCTTTAGTGATGAATATGGGGAATACATTTTTGCTAATTTTACTGTAAAAAAACTCAAGACGCCTATAACAATCGGATACCCCACACAAACATCCCAAACTTCAGTGAGAATCTAAAGTCACTAATAACAAACAGACAAATGAACAAGCACCACCTTCTCTTAGCTGGAGACTTCAATATCAACCTTGGCCTACCAGATGATCAGACTGTAACTGATTTCATCAACAATATGAAGAATGCACTTCTCATACCAACAATAACTAAACCAACCAGGCTGACTGAGACAAGTGCAACCATAATAGACCACATATGGACCAATATACTAGCTCCCCTTAAATCAGGGATAATCACAGTCAGCACTACTGACCACTACCCAACCTTCCTCTTAACAAACATTAGTAAGCCACCACTCGAATACAACAAAGTTTCATTTAGACTCCATGACGAGGCCTCAATAAGGAATTTCACAGCAGACCTAGAGACTGTGGACTGGCCTACAGAATTCTCCAATGCCAATGGTATTGACGATTGGACAGACATTTTTCTTAACAAAATACTTAGACTATACAACAAACATTGCCCTATAAAAACGAAACAGATCACGAATAAACGGCTTGGTTGCCCATGGCTAACCAGCAGCATTCTGAAATCCATTGATAAGAAACACCATTATGAAAAGCAATATAGACAGGGCTTAATACACAAAGATTTTCTTAAACAATATTCAACAGTTCTCACCAAATTAATAAAGAAAGCCAAACAACTGTACTACTCCAGCAGATTCACTGACACAAGAGGAGATATAAAAAAAGACCTGGAAAACACTTTCCCAGATTCTGGGGGACCCACAAACTGAAAGAAAACAAGAATATTGTTCTAACTAAACCTCATGAAACACCACTGCATCCCACTGATACAGCTAACAAGATAAACGACTTCTTCTCAAACATAGGATCTAATCTCGCCAGTAAAATCCCACGTACTAATGCCCATGCCGGGGACTACCTACATGGAAATTTCCCAAATTCCTTCTATCTTGTACCAACTGAGCCCACGGAAGTCACCGCGATCATAAAGTCACTTAAAAATAACTCGGGGAATGTGTCTCACGTCCCACCATTATTGTACAAGCGAGCGGCCCATGTCCTTTCGCATGCTATTACATTACTTTTTAACAGGTCACTAGAAACTAGCACTTTCCCGACACTACTCAAGAGAGCAAGGGTTACACCAATACATAAAGGTGGTGACCCTACATATGCAAACAACTATAGGCCTAGTAAAAGGACACAAGTGCAACTAATGTGACATTTATTGTGGCAACGTTTCGCTCTCCAGGAGCTTGATAAAGCTCCTGGAGAGCGAAACGTTGCCACAATAAATGTCACATTAGTTGCACTTGTGTCCTTTTACTTTACATATTGTCGGTAATTCTACCAACTTTATTACAACTATAGGCCAATATCAAACTTACATTTGCTATCCAAAATCTTCTAGAAACTCGTGCACAGGAGACTATATTCATTTATAACGTCAATTATAAAAATGCTAGACCTGCTGTCCACAGCATTGGAAAATAAGGAATATCCACTAGGAATTTTTATTGACCTAAGAAAAGTGTTTGACACAGTAGACCACGGCATCCTACTCCACAAACTTGACCACTATGGTATAAGAGGCCATGCTCCTGCATATTTTAAATCCTACCTTTCTAATAGGTATCAGTAAGTCACCATTAAAAACACAGCCTCATTGTATAATACGGCCACTTGATACTGGAGTTCCGCAGGGAAGTGTCCTTGGACCCCTGCTCTTCCTCATTTACATCAATGATCTTCCAAACATATCCCAACACCTGAAACCCATTCTCTTTGCTGACGATACGACTTATGTCATCTCCCACCCTAATCTTGCCACCCTCAACACCATTGTTAACGAGGAGCTGCTCAAAATATCGACTTGGATGACAGCCAATAAACTTACACTTAACACTGGCAAAACCTACTATATTATGTTTGGTAGCACAGCAGGTGTTGCACAACTTAACATTAAGATCGACAACACTCTAATTGCCAGACATAATGAGGGCAAATTCCTTGGCCTATACCTCGACAACAACCTAAATTTCAGCACCCATATCCAACACATAACAAAAAAATGTATCCAAAACGGTGGGGATCCTCTCCAAGATATGATACTATGTGCCGCAAACTGCCCTTCTCACACTATACCATTCACTTATATATCCATACCTCACCTATGCTATCTGTGCTTGGGGTTCAACTGCAGCAACACACCTAAAGCCAATAATAACCCAACAAAAAGGCACAGTAAGAATAATCACTAAATCCCATCCCTGGCAACTCTTCATAGATCTAAACTGTTCAGAACATCCACACTTACTACTGTGCAATCTATATCTACAGGACCTTAAATTCCAATATTAACCTTGACCTAAAATGCTTTCTTGATAGTTGTGACAGGATCCACAGGCATAACACCAGACACAAACATCTCTATGACATTCCCCTGTGTTCGACGAAACCTTTACAAAAATTCAATGTATTTCAAAGGACCTAAAATCTGGAACACCCTACCTGAAAACTCTAGAACTGCAGACACATTCATCACTTTCAAAACTACAGTTAGAAAATATTTTATCTCCCTGATCCACCCCAACAACTAACTACATGATAACCACCTGGTGGTTCAAAATTACACTCACTCACCCACTGACTATAAACCCAGATATACTAATCGTAATCTTAAAATAATAAATCCTAACTAGTCATAAGTTTGCCTATGATACTCAAATATAGACACCTTGTATTGTGCCAAAACAAAAGCATTCACATTGCTAAACTCACAAATTATGATGTAGTCACTTAGCCTTAATACCATAATCTGTAAGGATTTAATGTTAAGAATTAATCTAAGTCTGCTCGAAATGCCTAGCTATGCTAGGTGTCCTAGTGGCCCCCTCTGTAATTAGTATTTTATAACATGTAAACCACAAAATACCCAAAACCTGTAAACCCCACATTGTAACCATTATAGAGAATAAACTTGAATTGAATTGAATTGAATTGAGGTATAGAAGACGGCAAATGTAGTCCCCATTTTCAAGAAAGGAGACAGAAACGAGGCATTAAACCGTAGACCAGTGTCACTGACGTGTATAATATGCAAAGTCATGGAGACGATTATCAGGAGGAGTGTGGTGGAGCACCTAGAACTGAACCAGCTTAAAAACGACAACCAGCACGGATTCATGGAAGGCAAATCCTGTGTCACAAACCTACTGGAGTTTTATGACAAGGTAAGGAAGTAAAACACGAGATGGAGGGATGAGTAGATTGCATTTTCTTGGACTGCAAGAAGGCCTTCGATACAGTTCCTCACAAGAGATTAGTGCAAAAGCTAAAGGATCAGGCACGTATAACAGGATGGGCACTGCAGTGGATCAGAGAATACCTGACAGGGAGGCAACAACGAGTCATGTTACATGATAAGGTATCACAGAGGGGGCCTGTGACGAGCAGGGTTCCACAGAAGTCAGTCTTAGGACTAGTGCTATTTTTGGTATATTTAAATGCCATGATGGAAGGGTTAGACTCAGAAGTGTCCCTCTTTGAAGATGATGTGAAGTTAAGGAGGAGAATTAAATCAGATGACGATCAGGTAGGACTACAAAGAGACCTGGACAGGCTGGAAACGTGGTCCAGCAACTGGCTCCTCAAATTTAACCCAGCCAAATACAAAGTCATGAAGATCGGGGAAGGGCAAAGAAGTCTGCAGACTGAGTATAGGTTAGGAGGCCAAAGACTGTAAACCTCACTCAAGGAAAAAGATCTTGGGGTTTACCTGGAGTTTACCTGGAGAGAGTTTCGGGGGTCAACGCCCCCGCGGCCCGGTCTGTGACCAGGGGTGAGTATAATACCGAGCACATCTCCTGAGATGCACATCAACCAGATAACTGCTGCAGCATATGGGCGCCTGGCAAACCTGAGAATAGCATTCCGATACCTCAGTAAGGAATCGTTCAAGATACTGTACATCGTGTATGTTAGGCCCATACTTTGTATGCAGCACCAGTTTGGAACCCACACCTGGTCAAGAACGTCAAGAAATTAGAGAAAGTGTAAAGGTTTGCAACAAGGCTAGTTCCAGAGCTAAGGGGAATGTCATACGAAGAAAGGTTAAGGGAAATTGGTGTGACGACACTGGAGGACAGGAAGGTTAGGGGAGACATGTTAACGACATACAAATACTGAGAGGAATAGATAAGGTGGACAGAGACAGGATGTTCCAGAGATGGGACAGAGAAACAAGGGTCACAATAGGAAGTTGAACACTCAGATGAGTCAAAGAGGTGTTAGGAGGCATTTCTTTAGTCATAGAGTTGTCAGGAAGTCGAATAGTCTGGAAAGTGATGTAGTGGAGGCAGGAACCATACATAGTTTAATGACGAGGTATGATGAAACTCATGGAGCAGAGAGAGAGAGAATCTAGTAGCGATCAGTGAAGAGGCGAGGCCAGGAGCTATGTCTCGACCCCTGCAACCACAAATAGGTGAGTACTAATAGGTGAGTATACAGTGTTGGGTTGATGGGTTCTAATAGCTTTGAGGTCAAATGCACATTCAGTGTTGGAGTTTGAAATTATGTTTTTTTTTTTCTTTTTCGAAAGAACGCAATCTTGAATTAGTCTTCCATCCGCACAACTGGGTAGAACTCTTGATGCGAAAACAAATAGTAACTTACTGATGTTGACGTAATTGGGAGAGTCACAGCACTGGCTCTGGTGGCCTGGTGGTTGAAGCTCTCGCTTCACACGTCGAGGGCCTGGGTTCGATTCCCAGTCAGAGTAGAAATATTGGGCGTGTTTCTTTCCACCTGTTGTCTATGTTCCCATTAGTAAAATGGGTACCTGGGCGTTAGTTGACTGGTGTGGGTCGCATCCTGGGACACAACTGATGTCATAGGCTGCACTGGCAAATCCTGACCAATGGCCTCCGAGCTTTAATGGTGTTGCCAACTCAAGTAGAAATATATAAGACACAAGGGAATACAAATCATGAAATTACAATGTGACTTTTGCGACCGATGACATGATTATATCTACAATGTAATAAGTTATAATATTAATTAAGTAATTTGCAAGTAAAGGTAGACATACGATAAAATGTTGACATGTCTTACCACTACTTAAAAATACTATTTCATAAGATTCGATTATTTTCAGATGTTTTCGTGGATTGATGCTGGTGGCTGTGTCAGCAGTGAAGACACCAGGTGACAGTACACCGTTGTTCTGAACAGTTGTACGGGTGAAATTAAGAGAACTTATACATACAACGAGATGTGCAAGTGTTAATCACAGAACAAGAATGACGAGTTGTATAACGAATATTTTCGTTCTTTGTAGAACAAGCGGGAGGAGTTACAGAGGTGTTTTGACCTTTAACTGAAGGTATCCGTTATACAAGAGTGCTGCTACCTGCTGCTTTCTCCACACTGCTGAGTTAAGGTGAGTCAGATACGTTGCTTCCCCCTGAGCCTCTACATTGTAGCATTGTTACTGTACTCTACAGTGTATCATTTTGAGTTTTCTGGGTTATCCTAGGGAATTTACACTATGTTAGTTGTGCCTAAATAAACTTTCTTAAGCCTTCTGCAGTGCTAAGTAAGTTTATTCAGGTATACGCAAATACAGTTACCCAAAAAAGTCAAAGTGATTTATTTCCATTGGGGTCCTCTCCACTGGGGTCCTCTCCATTGGGGTCCTCTCCACTGGGGTCCTCTCCATTGGGGTCCTGTCCATTGGGGTCCTCTCCACTGGGGTCCTCTCCATTGGGGTCCTGTCCATTGGGGTCCTCTCCATTGGGGTCCTTTCCATTGGGGTCCTTTCCACTGAGGCTCCTTTCTTGTTATGTCAACAAAACTCTTTAGTGTATCCCAGTGGAAATACGTCACTTTATCTGACTTTGTTTGGGTTATCTTAGGAAATTTGCACATGTTGCTATGTATGATAACTTTGTGTACGTGTATTTATGTGCACTTGTATCTAAATAAACTTACACTCTCACATATGTTGAAAATGGTATAAAATATCAACAAGTTGATAAGACACATGTGTAACAGTTAGGTATCTTTATTGTTGAAACCTTTCGCCAGCACAGTAGGTTTCTTCAGTCAATGAACTGTATGCATCAGACGTGACGAGGTAAAGATGATGTAATCAGTCCATCAGTCTTGGAGAAATAGTTTGAGGTGGTCAGTCCCTCAGCCTGGAGACGAGTTCACTTCCTTGGTCTGGAACGATATGAAGCTGAAGCATGACGATGGAGTCCTAAGTTAATATCTTTATTATGCATCCAATACCCATCCTGTGGACGGTAGTCAAAAGATTACAGAGGTACATAATGGGTCCAGGGACTGGACCCCAAAGTTCTGATAGTTGAACTAGTTACAGTGGTAATGACCTGTATGTGTGTTTATATCTGGCCATTGCTCTAACTCTTCCAAAGACCACGGTGGAGGGAAAAAATCTGTGGTAATCATTCATGACTTTACTGATAACTTCTTGGTCTATAAATTGTAAGAAATCAGTTTTATTTTGTAGAAAAGTTATTGGTAATTTTGTCCAGTGAGAGATATTTCAGTAATTCGAGCAATTATGTAGGTGAACTCTCACGTACTTTACTTACAGATGAAGCTGGTGACGCTAGTGACTCTGGTGACGCTGGTGAAGTTGGTGACGCTGGTGACGCTAGTTGACCTGACCACAGCTCAGTTTTCCCCTCGGCGGCAACAGTTTATTAGCTTCCCCCAGATAAGAGGACCTGTGCCTCGGGACGGCCAGGTGGTGGTGAGCTTCCTGATACTTCCAACAGTTATTATACTCTTTGGTAGTAACATCTAAACAAACTCAGTCACCTCAGATTTTGCACCTCTTTCACTTTGCCTCAAATCAATTAGGTGAAACAGTTAAATACTGTTATGCAAATACTTTGACAAGTAAGATAAATTAAGTGACATTATTTTATATACATTTTAGCAAGGTTCCCCCTCAAGGAAGGTTCCTTGATGTTGGTGAGGGGCTCTTGATTTAGGGAATTGGATCTGTGCTCCAGTTCCCCGAATTAAGCCTGAATGCCTTCCACATCCCCCCCCCTAGGCGCTGTATAATCCTCCGGGTTTAGCGCTTCCCCCTTGATTATAATAATAATAATTTAGCAAGGTTACATTAGGTTGCTAGATCAGTTTTAATAAGAAATTAACAAAATGCCATACAAAAAAATGTATACTCACATATATGACTTCATGGTGAGGCAACGAATCTTCAGGTTTTCCGAAAAATTATTTAATATTAACACTAGAGCACTATTTTAGGCTCGAGTTCCTTGCTCTGGTTTTTAAGTTTTACGAGGCTTCTTGTGAGCTTGAATAATCTTTACGTATATACTGAAGTACATACTTCTGTATTTGCAACTTGCTTGTGGCTGCTTTCCACATTCTCAGCAGTACTATTGTACGTTCTCATTAGTTTCATATATATTAACAATGTACCAATTTCTCTAGTTAGCTTTATCCGATGGATATTTTCCTGACAATAGCAGAACACTATCATCTGGATATAATAGTAATTTGCACTTAACAGAATTTGACAATCATTTACATATCACTAAAAGAATAAGGGGCCCAAAATATTTCCATGTGGAACTACACATGTTATTCGCGAGGGTTCTGATTATGTGTTTACTGACCTTGATTGTTTTTCCCGTTGTTCAGATAGACGGTAAACTAGTTTATTAAGCCTGTTACGATAGATTGTTGATTTATACATAATACACTATGCCAAATGCCTTTTCTATTCCATAGTGACCAACCCTGGTAACTATGCAGGATATTATTGTCATTAGGATATCTAACTTCTTGGTAATGCACGCAGTAATAATTTTAATTTATAAAGGGGTGGACGGGTAAGCTAGTGGAAGGCCTCGGTCAGTTGACCATAAGCTCCAGTGGCAGGTTATCATATGACTGAGACCAGCGTCAGGAAGCAGTTGTCCTGTTTCCTGACGGATCCTGGTAATACGTTGCTTCCTCGAGGATTTGACAGGTGGTGCTCCGTACACTGCGAGGCTTATAGTTACTGACATCCGATCTAATATTTTTTTCATGAAAACACGTTTAACTCTGGCAGACTTGAGTCCATCTGGCACAGTGAAAGTAATGGATAATTTTATTGTGAGTTATGGTACTTTCAGTTCATTTACAATATCTTTTTAGGAAAGTGACGAACTTTGTCATGTACTGTCCTTTTGGTTGGGCTCAACCTATTTAATTCCTTGAGTACAAATTCATAAAACGCACCTATTACCTTGAAACTGTTTGGGGTGATGCCTTTAGCTCTTTAATACGTTTAAAAACCATTTGAGTCTGTACTGAAGTTGCTCGATGCATCTGGTAGTTTACTGACAAATAATAATGCAACAGTTGTGAAGAATGAAACCGAACCATTGCCACTTTAGCTATTTCGACGTGTATATACTGCGTTACCAGACCACGGTACGGGCGGGGATTGAACTCGCGGTGCGTCGTAAAACTCCAGACCGACGCGTTACCAGTTTTAAAACCATGTTTGAGCGATGTTCTGATTTATAGCTATATTCGAGGACTTTAAAGTGTTGCCAGAGATTGCTAGGAGTGCTCCTAGAAGTTCTCCTAGGAGGGCACCTAGGAGGGGTCCTACGAGGGCTCCTAGGAGCGTCCCATTTTTATGCTTCCTAACTTTATTTTTAAGCCAGAGAAATTCATAAAGAGCCGCAAGATCCTGTCCATATGCCCAGCTCACTGTTACTTAGAAATTTTAATCCCCAAATTGACTAGTTAAAAACTGAGAAAGTTGTAAGAAGCAAATTAATGCCTGAACAAAATGTAATTAAATCAAACTTTATGAACAGTATTACTGATTGTGACTGGAATATAAATTGAGGATTGTATAAACTTAGTTTATTCTTAATGCATAAAATTGGTGAGGGTCATAAGCTGTGCTGACAGATAATAACAATAATACCTGGAGTATACCTGGAGAGGGTTTCGGGGTCAACGTCCCCGCGGCCCGGTCTGTGACCAGACCTCGTGGTGGATCAGGGCCTGATCAACCAGGCTGCTACTGTTGGTCGCATACAAGCTGACGTACGAACCACAGCCCGGTTGGTCAGGTAGTGCCTGTCCAGT